CCACCACCACCACCACCACCACCACCACCACCACCACCTCCAACACCAACAGGAGTGATCCTGGCTGGTCACGGGCTGACACTAGCGTTGATGTGCGTCTTGCTGCCGCCCTGCGGCACTCACGTCCACCGCCCACACCGCCCACGGTGGATGGGCGTTGGGGTGGTGACCTCTCTCACCTGCTGCCTCGTCGCTGTCGTCACCCACTTCGCTTCCGTCAGCGCCTCCGTCCGTCTCCAACCCACCAAGAAAGGTAGTGTCTAGTGGGGCAGGGAGGACTCTAACCAGTGGCAAGACAGACATAAAATTCGCAGTTCAGTGTGTAACCCCTTAGAGGGGGGGGAGGGAGAGGGAGCTCTTGACCCAGGGAATGTGAGGTATCTTCCCCTTTCTTGCATCGAAACCGGATGCATCCCATTCCTTCTGAGCGAAACCCTACGGATTAAGCGCTCCCTCCCCCCTCAGTGCAACGAGAGGGAGGGAGCGAGGGAACGAGTTAGAAGTATTCCTCCTGGGGATACATATCAGAGAATACCTATCAAGGTATCTCTCCGGGGATACCTATCAGAGTAGCCTTCCGGGGGATACCTATCAAAGCAGCCCTCCGGGGGATACCTATCAAGGTAGCCCTCCAGGGAATACCTATCAAAGTAGTCCTCCAGGGGATACCTATCAAAGTAGCCTTCCAGGGCATACCTATCAAAGTATTTCTCTGGGAGAGACCAAAGTAGCCCTCCGAGGATACCTATCAAAGTAATCCTCCAGGGGATATCGATCAAAGTAGCCCTCAGAGAATATCTATTAACGTAGCCCCTGGGGATACCTATCATATATCTCTCCAGGGGATACCTATCAAAGTAGCCCTCCAGGAGACACTTATTAAAGTAGCCCTCTGAGAGATATCCATCAAGGTATCCCTCCGGAGGATACCTATCAAGGTATCCCACCAGGGGGTATCTATCAAAGCATCCCTCCGGGGGATATTTATCAACTATACCTCCAGGGGATATCTTTCAAGGTAACCATCTGGCTTATATCTATCAAGGTATCCCTCTAGGGGATACTTATCAAGGTATTCATCTGGGGATACCTATCAGGTATCCCTCCGGGAATAATTATTAAGGTATCTCTAAAGAGGATATCAATGTAGCCCTCTGTGGGATATCTATCAGGGTATCCCTGCAGGGATACCTGAGTGGTGAAAACGTTCAGGCGGGTGTCAATTAACCAATGTTGCAGAAATGCTGCTGAACTTGACGTCAGTGTTGCGGAAATGTTGCTGAACTTGACGTCAGTGTTGCAGAAATGCTGCTGAACTTGACGTCAGTGTTGCGGAAATGTTGCTGAACTTGACGTCAGTGTTGCAGAAATGCTGCTGAACTTGACGTCAGTGTTGCAGGAATGTTGCTGAACTTGTTCAACAATTTGTTTGGGATCTTCGAGGCTACACTGGGAAAATTGTGCACCAGTGTTGTACCTGTATGATAGTGTTGTAGAACCTGTGTGCTGGTGGTGTAGAACCTGTGTGCTGGTGTTGCAGAACCTGTGTGCTGGTGTTGCAGAACGTGTGTGATGGTGTTGTAGAACCTATGTGATGACCCCCCTACACCTGTATAGTCTCAAGTGTGTTGCATATTTCAGTGAGGACGGAGGTGTGTTTCTCTGAGGGGTCGCAGGATGGGTCCTGCCAGAACGCTACTGGTGTAGGTGAGGTCTTCGTCAACCCGGTCATACTGCTCTTCATCTCGCAGTTCCTCGTTGGCATCGCCCTCAGTATCTTCTACACCGTGGGTGTCACCTACCTTGATGATAACATCAATAAGAAAGCCTCGCCTCTCAACTATGGTTTGTATGCATCTTACTGCACGTTGATATAGATTAGCAAAAAAGGATGTTTGTCTTTGTTGATATTTGTTAGATAAATGTCTTGGTCTAGCTTACTGAGAGCAACACAGAGTGGTCATCACTTTTGTGTATCTGTATGCAAGAGTAGGCCTATATAGATACACAAAAGACCTAGGAATTAGATCCCAATGGGGTAAATGGGAATACATCTGGATATATATGTGTACAGTTTATGTCTTATTTGTTGTAAGCAAATATAGGTTTCTTGCTTAATATTTCTGTCTTAACATAGATCAGGGCATCAAAATCTAACTTAGCATGCTAGATGAAGCAGTTAAAAAGATATATACTTGTGGTCAGTATGTGAATCAGTAGGATATAATGTGTGGTGCTCAGTTGTAGACACCTGTTAGACACCTGTGTAGCTCTCCATGCCCCTTAACCTAAGATAAAAGAATTACACAAGCAACCTGAATGATAATTGTATACGAGGACTGCATCTACAGCCACGCCACTGCTGCTGAAGATGCTGGTGAGGATGGTGGGTCCTGTGTGCGGCTTCCTGCTGGGTGGCTGGTGCCTCTCACTCTGGGTTGTCCCGTCTCCCCACACCAACACTAACGACCCCACCAGACACGGTCCCTGGTGGATAGGTAATTATTACAACTATTGTCTCTGTCATATTTTTGTGCTTATTTTTTGTATCATGTTACATATTGTATTTAATGAATATACCCAGCCTTCTATGGGCCAGTAGGTCTGCTACAGTGTTCCTCCATTCTTATGCTCATGGTAGGTGTTTTGATGCTTTTCAAGGGATCTTGATTCAAGAACCCCTCAAGGAAGGTTCCTTGATGTTGGTGAGGGGCTCTTGATTTAGGGAATTGGATCTGTGCTCCAGTTCCCCGAATTAAGCCTGAATGCCTTCCACATCCCCCCCCCCAGGCGCTGTATAATCCTCCGAGTTGGACTCACCCTCTTTGGATCAAACATCAATACCTCCCACATGTTAAAATATTTTGAGATTGATTTAGTTTTAACTATTCTACTCACCCAGGGTACCTGTTACTGGCTTGTGGTTTACTAGTGTCCTGTGGCTTCTTGTACCTGTGTCCTGGTAAACTAGCTGGCGAGGCGGTGAAGAGGAAGGAGGCGAGGCAAGAAGAGGCAGCGAAGAAGCAGTGGTGGCTTGATGAATTCCTCGTCTGCAATAGGAAGAGGAAAGAAGCCAGACGCTACGTCCATAGTAAGGTTATGGTGGTAGCGGTGGTGTGTATGGTGGGGGTAGTATGTATGGTGGAAATATGAGAGGAATGGTATGTGTGATGATGCCTCGGGCGTCTGGTGGTGGTGGTGTTGATGTGATGATGGTGGTTATGGTAGTGATGGTGGTGGTTATTGGCGGGGTGGTGGTAGGGGGCACCATTAGTCTGTCAGTTGACGGCACCAGTTACACAAAGAGACAAAGCCATTTTACTGTGCAACTAAGTTCACAACATTACAGGTGTCTCGGTGGCCCGGTGGCCTGGTGGCTAAAGCTCCCGCTTCACACACGGAGGGCCCGGGTTCGATTCCCGGCGGGTGGAAACATTCGACACGTTTCCTTACACCTGTTGTCCTGTTCACCTAGCAGCAAATAGGTACCTGGGTGTTAGTCGACTGGTGTGGGTCGCATCCTGGGGGACAAGATTAAGGACCCCAATGGAAATAAGTTAGACAGTCCTCGATGACGCACTGACTTTCTTGGGTTATCCTGGGTGGCTAACCCTCCGGGGTTAAAAATCCGAACGAAATCTTATCTTATCTTATCTTTTCTTTATTTTGTTTCAACACCTGCACTGTTTTCCACAAAGTAATGTGCTTTAATTAACGAAGGAAACATTTGCAAGCACTCCCTTCCTAGCTGTCTTTCCAGAAGCCCAGGCACCTCACAGTTCTAAGGATCCATCTAACCTCAACCTCCCCACTAAATTTAGATTTTGCCACCGAAGTGGCTAGTTTATTGTGCACCCCATATCTATCCTGTGGATGGTAGCGCAAGAGCATATGGATACACAAAAGGCCTAGGAACTAGGCCCCCAAAAGGGTTAACAGGAGTACATCTGGATTTATATCTACAGTTCACTTATCTGTTACAAGCAAATTTAGGAATTTTGCTTAATAAATCTGGTATCTTATTTTCATTAATAAGATATCTCGACATGTCAAACAGATTATTGTACTGTCGATCTCGATATTCCTAAAAAAGAGGACAATTAAGCACATAATGTTGAAGGTAGTCACCATTGGGCTGGTCACATACTTTGCATTTGGTCTGAAGTACTTATAACCAAGCCTAAACCTGGCCACTACAACATCAGTCTGTTCACATTGCAAGTTGTTCCATAAACGTACTTATCTACGTTCATGTTATCATAGTGGGTTGTAGATCTACTTAGGCTTCTAATTGTATTCCTATAACATTCAGTTTCATTATTTACTTCTCTCCCAATATTATTCCTGACGCTAGTTACAGATACACCAAGGTTATATTCTACATTATCCTTCAAGGTACTCTTCTTGGCTAACATATCAACTTTATCATGAAGGAGTAATCCAAGTGTGATGGGATTCATAGCAATTGTATATTAATTCCTTCCACTGATGCCTCACACTCCAGAAATTAAGTTTTGTCTTATTTAAACTGAAATCTCTTTTGGTTCACATATATCTTGCACATACATTCAGTGGTCATTCTGAGTGTTTCTTAAGAGCTGCACTCTCCTACAGACCTACCAAAGGCTCTGAAACGTCTCTTCGGCAGCAAAATCTGGGTTGGGAACCTCTTTAGCTCGGTGACCTTCTTCCTGGCCATCGCCTGCTACTTCAACTTCAAGTCCAAGTACCTGGAGACTCATTTTGGCAAGAGTGCCAGCGAGGCTAACTTCTACACAGGTTTGTCACTAATATTAACCGTGTCGCTAATTTATTTTAGGTCACGAAAAGAAGAGGCTTAGTTAGATCCTTAACTCAATTTTTTAATACCTGCCATATTCCATCACACAAACGGAGCAGTCTGAACTTCAAACCAGGAGAGAGAGATTCACGACCTTATACGCGAGCCACACTGTATCAGAGCTCTAGTGATGCTAATGAATCAATGATCTTTGGTTTACTAGCTGCTACTTGTAGATATAACTAACATATCACCTTCCATGCCTAACTGATTTATCTAAGTATCTTCTCACACATGCTAGCCTCCTGCTTCCATCTAGGGAAGGACAGATATACTCACAATTTTCCAGGTAGTATAAGGAAGAGGCTTAGATTTTTTTCTCAGTTCTCCACTTAGGTAAGTAATACCTTACACAGATATTTTAGGATTTTATCATCAAATGGCTAGTTTATTGTACACTTCATATCCATCCTGTGGATGGTAGTGGTTAGTTTGCTGTGCACTCCATGTATTTCCACAAATACACAAGAGGATACACAAAAGGCCTAGGAACTAGGCCTCAAAAGGGCTAAGATAAATACTTCTGGATACATATTTATAATTTGTTTCATCCGTTACAAACAAACTGATAACATTTGCTTAAAATATCTGGTAAACTATTTTTGCTAATTAAATATCTTGATTTATCATCCAGGTTATTATACTCTACGCAGATACTATAATTTGAAACATTTTAACTTATTTATCACATAATTACAATAAATAAGTATTCATAACATGTTACGATTACTTAAGTTATTCTATATGATCTCTTACTACCTATTTTAGTTTGTGGAAGGCTGAGTTCCAACTCTTGGTCCTCCTTTGTGTCTGCTTAGCAAGGCTAAGCAGACACAAAATAGCACAGAGTAGAAGGTTAATTATGTTTTTAAATTAATCTATGTATGCAAGGAGAAACTGACACATACTGTCGTGGTTTTTGTCTTACCCTGCTGGTGGCGCTGACGCTGACGCAGGGTTGAGTACCCTAGGGGCGTCCCTACTGGCTGTGGCCGCCACCGCCGCCTTCATGAGGTGGACGAGACCATCATCTAGGTTCCTAGCTTCCTATGATGTAATCCTCACACTCCTGGGCTGTGTCTCATACGTCATCCTCATGTTTCTCAGCTGCCCCCAGCTCCACATTCTTGGACCTCTGGCAAGGTGAGGACAGTAACGGGGATAATGAACGGAGGTTCTGGGAATGGTGAAGGTAATGAAGGGGAAGAGAGGCGCTAGAAGAAGGTGAAGGAGGGATGGGAAGAGGTGAGGAGTGAGAGGATTTGTTAGGAAAGGAAGGGAATATTGTTGAGAAAAGACGTGATGCAGGAGGACACCTGTAGGTAGGTGAGTTGAAGTGGACAATAGACCCCTAATTTAATCCTTCATTATCTAACTTTTTGCCTGCAAATAGATCTCAGAGAGGAACATAGAGCATGTTCACAATGAACACAAGATACAGTAGCAAGGTGACGTGTCTGACCCCGTCTCGGTAAACACAGCATCAAACCTCTACCACTCTGGCCTCAGTGATCAAGACAGATTTAGTGATTCTGGTGCTGTTAGATAAAATACTAGAGATCTGTGTAGAGTTACTGTGTTGCCTACAGTTATCATATGGTTTCTTACACAGGTCGGAGGCCGGAGAGTGCTCCTCTGAGTGCAAGTGCTCACTTCAGTTCTCACCTGTGTGTGCTGAAGATAACACTACAGTGTTCTACTCTGCTTGCTATGCTGGTTGCTCTGCCTTCGACCTCTCCTCCGAGTCTTTGGTGAGCAATAACATATCTGAAGTTGGTGGGTTGAGTTTAAAGCCTATCCACTACACGAGGGTTATTAAAGTTGCATATAACCCACTCACAAATACAGTCAAGAACACTTTAATCCCTAAAACAGAAATTTAAATAAATTCTCAGCTTGCACAGACATACACATGTCCCTTTGTATAATCTAATACGTAAGGAGGTTAATTGGGTTATTAAGACTGCATGTAAACTTTTTCACTTTAATCTCCAGATGTAAACTCTCCGTGTAAATACACTGAAATGTATACATCTCTCGGTGTATATAACATACGTGCGAATTATAAGTTTTATTAAGGAAATCCATCAATTCTTTTACAGACAGCAATATAAATTTTGCAGGCAATAATATATAAATTTTACATACACTAATATATATTTGTACAAGCATTATGAGGGTATACATGAGAGATAAACTATGTAGTTTACTTCAGAAGTATATTCAGCAAGTTTGTGTCTAACATATTCCTTGCTGGACGAGTCATTGACTCTGCCTGGGTGTTAGGAGAGACTGTTGTGGGTAGCAAATTAGCAACCAACAACAAGATGGAGAAACTCTTGTGGGGTGAGCAGGGAAGTGGGGATAGTGGAAGAGGAAGTGGTGGGAGGAAGGTTATGAGCGGAAGGGATAGTACCTGACGTTATGAGTGGAAGGGATAGTACCTGGGCTTAACCCAGTAGCTAATTCTATCGTGGGTCAGAGACTTGCGTGGCGAGGAGGACTGATAAGGCGAAATAGATTTGGTGGACGCTAAAACGAACATGCGGAGGTACCTGTGAGAAAGTCCATTGGTGATGTAAGGACGGGGTAGCAACTTGGGTAAGGCAAGCAAGGGACTCAGTGGAAATAAGCCACACTGTTTTTTCTTGGGGATATCCTGGATTACTAACCCTCTGTGCAAATATCCCGAAAAAAAAATATTTTTTCTTCATTCTCATAAACTGGACTGGGGATTCAAGACAATTTTAATTGAGCTGGTGGTTAATATTTCTCGTTTTCTCTTATTCTAATTTTGGTTTTCTCTGATGGTGGATGCTGCTGCTGCTGCTGCTGCTGCTGCTGCTGCTGCTGCTGCTGCTGCTGCTGCTGCTGCTTATTGCTGCTCCTGCTGCTGCTGTTATTGCTGCTCCTGCTGCTGCTGCTGCTGTTATTGCTGATCCTGCTGCTGCTGCTGCTGCTCCTGCAGGTGTATCGAGCCTGTAGATGTATCGGAAATTTCTCCAACCCGTTTATCACTGTACCTGACACCCTCCACACAGTGCCTGACACCCTCCACACAGTGCCTGGCACCCTCCACACGGTGTCCGACACTTCCACACAGTTCCTGACACTCTCCACACAGTGCCTGACTTACAAGTAAGTTCTTTCTTGTTCTTTTAAAGAGACTTCCCTCTCTTGGGATAGGGATGGTCTGCGTAATGTACTTATTATAAGAATTTGATATGATAGCTATTAAGGAATACGATGCCTCTAAATTAGTAGTGTGCAAGTTAATTGAGACAGGAATAAATTTTGCGATTATGTAATAATAGGTCTTAGCCTCCGGCTTAATTAATGTGGTTTGGGTTCTTTTCAGAAGAGTTTCCTACTGACTTCTGGCAACCATTCAGTGCTACAACAGCTGTTGTTCTGTAAGGCTATTCCTGTAAGTGTGCTCCGTGGGTGACTGTGGCTTCGCCAAATTCTTCCCTTCAATTCGTGATTACTACTGAAATTCATGAAGGATGTTATACCTAGTAAGCTTGCAAGTATTGTAACTCTTAGGACAATTTTGGATTTTCCTAAATTCAGCATGTGCAAATTTGACTAATACAATAATTGTGTAATATAATATGATGCTGATTTGACCCTTTCGAAAAATTTCGAGTGAGGGGGGTGCAGAACAGCCAGTAGTGACGCCAGAAGGGAGACGCCATGTTGAAGGTCAGTTGATGTATATCCGCCTCAATCTGTAATTTAGAAATTTCTGACGCGTTCTTGCTGAAGAATTGGGATAAAAAGTGTGAAAAACCCTTACAATTCGGCAACAAAGACAGAAAAATAGAGGACTCCAATCCTTCCCAGCAACACACCTTAGCTAAGTGACACTTACCCATAGTGTACAGCAGTTTTTGCATTGGCCATCATAAATCCTAGCTGTAGAGATAGCATTAGGGTGTTTCCAAAAATAATTATGATCCAGTAATTAAATGGTGAGTGGTAATACGAATTTCCTTTCTAATAACATCAATAATTTATGTATATTAATTATAAATATGCATACCCAGCAAGTCTAATCATATACAGTACACACACCTTTAATTTACTAGAGTAGCTGGTTTTAATATTATAATTATTAATTTAATGTCAGGTCTAGCTTTTTGTGTGAGTGGTGATGAAAAGGGCATCGAGGGAGTTACAGTCCTGTGACCTACTGTGACTTAAGTCCCACTTATCTCACCCAAATTACATGCCTGTAATAATTCAGGTAATACCATGTAAACCTCATGCAGGTAATTTGCTGACATAATAATTCACAAAAATGTGATTTGAGTATCAGACACATCGCCGAAATTCTGAGCCTAGCAAAGTCAACTATTGGTCATATTCTGAAGAAAGCTGATGACACTGATGTTTATAGAACGCTGTCTCGAGGAAGATATGAAAGAAAACACAAGACAACACCTCACAATGACAAGGTTATCATAAGAAATAATGTGAAGGATCCCAAGAAAACCAGCAAAAATCTATAGAGAGATTTGGCTTCAGGTGACGTAAATGTTGATTCTTCAACTGTTCGACGAAGGCTCCTGGAAGTTGCCAGAGATGCCAGAAATCTCGTAAAGAAAAATTATCGACTTCTACTATGAAGAAAAAGACGGTTGAGAGGGCACTCGTTCATAAGAGATGGAGATGAAGGGAGAGAAGTTATATTTTCAGATGATTCGCATTTTGAAGTACATGGCTGGAGATCAGTAGTAGCGAGATGGAGCAAAGGCGAACCTCTTCGGAATGGACACATTCAACAAGCAACAAAACACCCACCTAAGAAGATGGTTTGGGGCAGTTTTACTGCTAAAGGCCCTCGACTGCTTGTTTTTGTTGAGGAAACGAACTGTGACAAATACAATGCAATCCAGGCAACTGATTTGCTTCCCATTGTGGATAGACTTTCCTGATGGAGAAGGCATTTTCCAGCAGGATCTCTGGCCATGCCACACTTCCAGGAAAAATACTGACAGTTTAGAACGCTAAGCGTCCTAAACTGCCCTGGAAACTCTTCTGACCTCAACCCAACCGAGAATCTAAGGGCAATAACCAAACGCAGGATCACGAAACAGGGCTGTTCAACTGTAGAGAATGTAATAAAGTTGGTAGAATTACCGACAATATGTAAAGTAGAAGGACACAAGTGCAACTAATGTGACATTTATTGTGGCAACGTTTCGCTCTCCAGGAGCTTTATCAAGCCATTACAAACAACACATGGACACAGAGGGTATATAAAGGCTCAGAGTGAGGTGCAATACTAGTGAGGTACCATTTCGATGTTCACTAGTGGTAGTAGTAGTAGTAGTAGAATGTACATTCTACAAGATTGATGGACTGAAACATCGACTCCAGGTGAGGGATGATACTCATACTCTCTCTCTTACGCCTTCCTCTTTGTATTGGACTGATGAAGCCACTGTGTGGCGAAACGTTTCCTGAACAAAGATTCCCATATGCTGCATAAGTGTCTCAATCTTCAACCTATTTTTATGTTACCCAAGTAATAGCTTTTATATCCTTTTACTCATGTACGAATTAATTGATCTACCATATTGTATTACTTTTGTCACTACTACTACTACTACTACTACTACTACTACTACTACTACTACTACTACTACTAGTACTACCACTAGTGAACATCGAAATGGTACCTCACTAGTATTGCACCTCACTCAGAGCCTTTATATACCCTCTGTGTTCCATGTATTGTTTGTAATGGCTTGATAAAGCTCCTGGAGAGCGAAACGTTGCCACAATAAATGTCACATTAGTTGCACTTGTGTCCTTTTACTTTACAACTGTAGAGAAGCTGATTTCTACCTGATACTACGACAAAGAACTTGCTAAAATGTGTTCAGCATTGGTCGATTCTATGCCGCAGCTTGTAGCAATGCTTATAAAAGCAAAAGATAGTCATAACTCTTAGTCAATCAGTTATCTGTCATATCATTCCCGTGTATTTCTCAAATAATTTTCGAAATGTCTTTTTTCATCAATGTCACAATTAATATGCACACTACTGCAGTAGTAGTAGTAACAATAGTAGTAGTAGCAGTGGCGGTAGTAGTGGTAGTTGTAATAGTAGGAATGTTAGTAGTAGTAGTGGTGGTGGTAGCTCAGTGGTTCGACTCACACCTGCTATTTCACCTCCACCTCCATACCTTCCTCAGCTCTCCTCTCTCTCTCTCTCTCTCTCTCTCTCTCTCTCTCTCTCTTCTCTCTCCACCTTTCTCCTTCTCCGAGGGTCATTAAGGCTACATGTCACCTGTTCATCACCAGGGGGACTAAATATACTTACAGTGTATACATTCTCAGAGAAATACACCTCTTGGTGTATATATTCTGTGATTTTTTTTATATATTGGTAAGTAATGAGACTTATGCTAATAGTTCTGATGTGAGTTAATAATGTTAATAATGTTAATAATGTTAATAATGTTAATAATGTTAATAATGTTCTTGTGAATTAATCTCACATGCAAACAATTATTAATTAATGATTTATTGTGGGAATTTCACTCTCAAATTTTTTTTACTTGTCATGTCAACTTCAAATTGGCAATTAACACACCCCTCTAGAGAGGCACCTTGTTGCCGGTGAGGGGCTCTTGATCCAAGAAATTGGATTCCCCTTTCCTTGGATCGAACCTGTTTGCCTCCCATTCCCCCAGGAGGGGCTATTTCACTCCTAAGTGTTTAGCGCTTCCACCTTGAGTCTATTTACATTCGTTAATGAACTATTCAACCGCCATACGCATTTTTCCCCCTATATAATTTAACTGAAAAAGTCTCCAGTGTCGTAGAGGCGTGAAGTAGGCCTATTCTTTCACGAGCAGGCCTACGTATATCCTGGAGGCTCTCGACTGCCAACGCTGACCCAGACACAGTAAAGCTTTCATGTGTTCATAACACAAAGCAACAGTAACAGCCTGGCTGATCAGACCCTGATCCACCATGAAGCCTGGTCTCAGACCGAGCTCCGGAGGCGTTGACCCTCAAAACCCTCTCCGGGTAAACTCCAGGTAAGTCACGGGAATTTCTCCATTAAAAGTTCCAAAGATCTTCAAAGTAACGTCACTCTCATGTTGCGCCGAAGATGATGGTCTCAGTGTGAAGGCGAAACACACAGTACTAATGTTTGCTTTGTTTATTCCCTGTTTATTCCTTGTTTATATTGTTATTGTTGACAGAGGACATGGGGCAGCGCGACTCCAGGCTACTGTCCTGACACCTGTCAAGTCTTCCTGTGGTACATCTTGGTACAGATGCTCACCACTACCATCTGTGCTTCTGGCAGGATCACCAACGCCGTGGTTCAACTAAGGTGTGTGTATGGTTCGTCTCAGGTGTGTATGGTTCGTCTCAGGTGTGTATGGTTCGTTTCAGGTGTGTATGGTTCGTCTCAGGTGTGTATGGGTTCGTCTCAGGTGTGTATGGTTCGTCTCAGGTGTGTATGGTTCGTCTCAGGTATGTATGGTTCGTTTCAGGTGTGTATGGTTCGTCTCAGGTGTGTATGGTTCGTCTCAGGTGTGTATGGTTCGTCTCAGGTGTGTATGGTTCGTCTCAGGTGTTTATGGTTCGTCTCAGGTATGTATGGTTCGTTTCAGGTGTGTATGGTTCGTCTCAGGTGTGTATGGTTCGTCTCCGGTGTTTATGGTTCATCTCAGGTGTTTATGGTTCATCTCAGGTGTTTATGGTTCATCTCAGATGTTTATGATTCATCTCAGGTGTTTATGGTTCATCTCAGATGTTTATGATTCATCTCAGGTGTTTATGATTCATCTCAGATGTTTATGGTTCATCTCAGGTGTTTATGATTCATCTCAGGTGTTTATGATTCATCTCAGATGTTTATGGTTCATCTCAGATGTTTATGGTTCATCTCAGGTGTTTATGATTCATCTCAGATGTTTATGGTTCATCTCAGGTGTTTATGATTCATCTCAGATGTTTATGATTCATCTCAGGTGTTTATGATTCATCTCAGATGTTTATGGTTCATCTCAGGTGTTTATGATTCATCTCAGGTGTTTATGATTCATCTCAGATGTTTAGGGTTTTCATCTCAGTTGTTTATGGTTCATCTCAGGTGTTTATGGTTCATCTCAGATGTTTATGGTTCATCTCAGGTGTTTGTGGTTCATCTCAGATGTTTATGGTTCATCTCAGGTGTTTATGATTCATCTCAGGTGTTTATGGTTCATCTCAGATGTTTATGGTTCATCTCAGGTGTTTATGGTTCATCTCAGGTGTTTATGGTTCATCTCAGGTGTTTATGGTTCATCTCAGGTGTTTATGATTCATCTCAGATGTTTATGGTTCATCTCAGATGTTTATGGTTCATCTCAGATGTTTATGGTTCATCTCAGGTGTTTATGGTTCATCTCAGGTGTTTATGGTTCATCTCAGGTGTTTATGGTTCATCTCAGATGTTTATGGTTCATCTCAGGTGTTTATGGTTCATCTCAGGTGTTTATGGTTCATCTCAGGTGTTTATGGTTCATCTCAGGTGTTTATGGTTCATCTCAGGTGTTTATGGTTCATCTCAGGTGTTTATGATTCATCTCAGGTGTTTATGGTTCATCTCAGATGTTTATGGTTCATCTCAGATGTTTATGGTTCATCTCAGGTGTTTATGATTCATCTCATGGTTTATGGTTCATCTCAGGTGTTTATGATTCATCTCAGGTGTTTATGGTTCATCTCAGGTGTTTATGGTTCATCTCAGGTGTTTATGGTTCATCTCAGGTGTTTATGATTCATCTCAGGTGTTTATGGTTCATCTCAGGTGTTTATGATTCATCTCAGGTGTTTATGGTTCATCTCAGATGTTTATGGTTCATCTCAGATGTTTATGGTTCATCTCAGATGTTTATGGTTCATCTCAGGTGTTTATGATTCATCTCAGGTGTTTATGGTTCATCTCAGGTGTTTATGGTTCATCTCAGGTGTTTATGGTTCATCTCAGGTGTTTGTGGTTCATCTCAGGTGTTTATGGTTCATCTCAGGTGTTTATGATTCATCTCAGGTGTTTATGGTTCATCTCAGGTGTTTATGGTTCATCTCAGGTGTTTATGGTTCATCTCAGGTGTTTATGATTCATTTCAGGTGTTTATGGTTCATCTCAGATGTTTATGATTCATCTCAGGTGTTTATGGTTCATCTCAGATGTTTATGGTTCATCTCAGGTGTTTATGATTCATCTCAGGTATTTATGGTTCATCTCAGGTGTTTATGGTTCATCTCAGGTGTTTATGGTTCATCTCAGATGTTTATGATTCATCTCAGGTGTTTATGGTTCATCTCAGGTGTTTATGGTTCATCTCAGGTGTTTATGGTTCATCTCAGGTGTTTATGATTCATCTCAGGTGTTTATGGTTCATCTCAGATGTTTATGATTCATCTCAGGTGTTTATGGTTCATCTCAGATGTTTATGGTCCATCTCAGGTGTTTATGATTCATCTCAGGTGTTTATGATTCATCTCAGGTGTTTATGGTTCATCTCAGGTGTTTATGATTCATCTCAGGTGTTTATGGTTCATCTCAGGTGTTTATGATTCATCTCAGGTGTTTATGGTTCATCTCAGATGGTTATGGTTCATCTCAGGTGTTTATGGTTCATCTCAGGTGTTTATGATTCATCTCAGGTGTTTATGATTCATCTCAGATGTTTATGGTTCATCTCAGGTGTTTATGATTCATCTCAGGTGTTTATGGTTCATCTCAGGTGTTTATGGTTCATCTCAGATGTTTATGGTTCATCTCAGGTGTTTATGGTTCATCTCAGGTGTTTATGATTCATCTCAGGTGTTTATGATTCATCTCAGGTGTTTATGGTTCATCTCAGGTGTTTATGATTCATCTCAGGTGTTTATGGTTCATCTCAGGTGTTTATGATTCATCTCAGGTGTTTATGGTTCATCTCAGGTGTTTATGATTCATCTCAGGTGTTTATGGTTCATCTCAGATGTTTATGGTTCATCTCAGGTGTTTATGGTTCATCTCAGGTGTTTATGGTTCATCTCAGGTGTTTTGATTCATCTCAGGTGTTTATGGTTCATCTCAGGTGTTTATGATTCATCTCAGGTGTTTATGGTTCATCTCAGGTGTTTATGATTCATCT